AAAAAAAAAAAAAAAAAAAAAAGAAAAAAAAAAGAAAAAGAGAAAGTTGTAATAATAATAATGAATATCGCGAAAGAACGAAATCTCTCGGTTTTTAATTATGTAATATTATTAAATTATTTATTTGCGTATGATAAAAAAAAAATATTAATCTGGAACACGTTATTTTCTTTTTTTCTCTTCTTTTTATATTACATAACTAAGCAGGGTAACGTATACAATACGTCTTCCTTCGTAAACTAAATAAAGTTAAATCGTCGAAGATTAATATATAAATTATAGTAAACGGATTATAAAGAAAAAGAAAAACCCTCTTGTTTTTTTTTTTTTTATCTACTTTACTGCAGAAGATATTATGATTTGTAGCCATGAAATAAAATTTTTTGTGACAATCAACGTTTGTACAAATAAGAATTTCTTATTTCCAAAATTTCGATTCCATCCTCCAAACTTCAAAACTTCACTTCGGATAGCAGATATATTTTAATTTAAATCTTACCCCCTCTCTTCCCTCCTTTCAATCCTCTCCAAGTTTCTTTTATTTTTTTTATTATTTTTTTTTTTTTACGAATCATTCCATCTTCGACAAAACAATATAAACGCGTCTTACATTACAGTGAAAGAGCGTTGCGGGTTACAGCGACTGGGGGAGGAGGAGGAGGAGGTGGAGGGTAGTGGATTTCGACGCAGACGCCATGAGACGTCTTGCCACGGTCGTATGGATCGCTATCGGGGTAGCTGCCCCCGCATACTTCGAAACAACCCCGTTGCGGACAGTTCCTCGTCGCACGCGACCCCATGTCGATAAGAGGTCGTTCCGTATGTGTGCGGCCAGCACACACGCCCTCCTCGTGTTCCTGATCGGTGGGTCGGCACGTCTTTCCGTCCCAAAAGCGAACGCAAGTCCAACATAAGTCCTCGAGAGAAAATTCTCTTGTCAATTCCTCTTTCGATCCTCGTGCATCACGACTGTTCGAGACATGGTGCATCATAGGAAGAGTTGAATTTAAACGTAAGATGATCTTTCTGTGTTGAATGAAATTGGTGCGTGTAAAGTTGGTTTTTATTTCCAAGTGGTTTTGGGAGATTGTGATTCAAGGAGTGTGATATTCAGATTTTTAAATTTATGAGTGAAATTCGATATTCGATATTCGATGCAAGTTGTAATATTGAATTGTCACTTTGAACTTGACGTAAATTTAATTCTGATTGCAATTTTTTTGAGTGTTAAAATTATGTGTGAAAATTGGTAAAATTGTTAGTCATAAAAAATGAAATAAGATAAGAATAGTAAGCAGAGTTTGAACTCTGATTGATAAATCGAAAGAAATATTGCTGTACAGACATGGAAAAAAAAATAGTTCAAGAGGTTTTTAATAACACTTACAAAGTTGTAAAGACATTCGATAAGTCGATTTCCATGATGAGGATGGAGTATGTTATGGATCAATGTAAAGGGTGAATTGAA